ATTGGGGTGCACGTGTCTCTTTCAGATCTGGTTTCCTCAGTGTGTATGGAAGGGCGCTTTCTCAAAGGTGAGGGCAGAGTTAAGGGAACCCAACAGTGTATTGTTGGAGCTAGCAAAAGCTGGCGGCCTTACCTCTGCTATACTTGAATAGGTAGGAGTAGGAGCAGCTTTTGGAGTCGAGAAAATGGTCAGAGTTGTAGGGATTGCATAGAGGGTGCCTGGCAGGACCTGTGGCCTCAGGTGCAGGGAGGCAGCCAACTCACTAGGGAAGCTGCTGGGAAAGTAAACATCTCGACCTCACTCTCTCCTCCTCTCCAGGCTCCTGCCAGTGCCTTGATTGTCTGAATCTAACTGGAAGCCAGGAGACCAGGGATGCTGTTGAAACAGTCCATATATGTTAGCTTCCTGAGGGTACAAAGGATGGAGATAGATGGGAAGTGGATCAGGGAGAGGCAAATGGAAAATATCCAGCACATCCCAAACTAGGTCCCTCTCCTATTTGCCGCTCCAGAGGACTGCATGTCCTCATCATAATGCTCTTTCTAATTTATTGTTTCTATAGGGAGATTAAACCTTCCAAGGTGGCTCAGTGGTAAAGATTCTGCCTGCCAAGCAGGAGATGTAGGTTCGATCTCTGGGTTGGGAAGATCTTATGGAGAAGGAAATTGCAACCCACTCTAGTATTCTTGCCTGGGAAATCCCATGGACAGAGGAACCTGGTGGGCTACAGTCCAAGGGGTCACAAAGAGTCAGATGTGGCTTAACAACTAAACCACCACCTTTGGGAGATTAAGCATATGGTAAGGATTTTGTCTGACTTGTTCATTGCTCTATTCCCAGTGCCTACCACTGTGCCTGCTTTGCAATGGTGGGGAATAGTGCTTGGGAAATGAGGGGGTGGATATGTTTGAAGGCCATAAATATCTTTGAGAACAGTGAATCTCCCAGCACAATGCTTGCACATAAAGGGAAACTTCTGGTGAATAAATATCTGTACAGTTAAGTGAATGGATGAATCCTGAGGATAGGGAACCCAGAAAACTTCATGGTACCAAGTTTATGTCAAGATTCACTCCCAAATTCATTAAATTTAGCAGAACCTGTTCCTTCCTGAGAGGCCCGGGAGCTTATACATGAGTCATCTTCTCCCACCCTTTATCTATACCACCTTGGTCTGGTAGTATCCACTCTATTTCCTCAGAAGCAGACTAGGGATGGTCACCTCAGCCCTAGTGGAGGAGTGAACCATGATCAAGGCTGAGACCATCAGTCTCTCCCTGGGAATCAGCCTCTCAAATCCACCGATGATGGAGAATGTACCCCTTTCCTTGCCCTCTACCTTTTTGCCCTCAAATTGATCCGAGGTAGTGCTTGTTCCATGCATTAAAAAACTGATACACTCAGGTACCAGACTTACCAGGTCATAAGCTGATGTGTTTACAGTCTTGGGCTTTGCAGCTACACTGCTTGATTTCACTTCCAGCTCTGCCAATTCTTAGCTGTGTGACATTAGGCAAGTTACTTGTCTTCTCTGTGCCTCAGTCAAGGATTCAATGAGTTAAAGCATGTAAAAGCATGTGCCTGGCACATGGTAAGCACTCAGTAAATTTTATCCGGGTCTTAACCACTTAAGCAACTTGCGAAAAGATAATTGATGCAGTTACATTTTTTTAAGCAGTGGGTAAATGAAAGTAACAATCATGGAATAAATTGGAATGAATAAGACATTTCTCAAAGGTTACTTGTATCTTCCCACCCACTCTGCTATAGGGTAAGTATAGAGAAAAAAGGATTGAGAACTATTTCTAAAGGAAGCATTAAAAATGAGCTGGTGCCTTTTTAATTTTTCAAGAAAATCTAGAGGCCAGTGGCTGTATCTGGTATTCACTCTTCTCTTTCTGCAAAGTTCATGGGTTCTTGGCTCTAAATAAGCTTAGTTCTCTATAGCTTCCCACAAGGAAATTAAATTTTCAGGTCCTGCACAAAAGTTTAGTTATCGCTAATATAATCATCTGTGCTGTCACTGCAGGGCTGTAGGATTCAGGAGGGGGGAGAATGGGATTTGACAGCAATAAAAAAATTCCTCCTCTGGCCCTCCCTCTCAGACACTCAGACATGTGTTCCTCAAGCACACACCAGCACGACCATACACGTATGTAAACAAAGGAGTGGACTTTCTCAGACAGTTACTCTGAGTGATTTTTTAAAAACTCAACCCAGCCAGCCCTTTGGCAGTGTCTTGTTAGCCTGAACCAAATGTTGAGGGAGCAGGAGAGAGGGGGTGCCATCAGCATGGTCATGTCCTGGTCCTGCCTTCCAGGAGATCTCATGGTGATGTGCTGGGGTGGGGGGTAGAGAGAGAGAATGCTTATCAGGATCTGATAAAAGGTAGACGGTGATAAGGGCTATGTGAGAGGTTAAAAAGTTGCTAAAGGTTGCTCTCTTTAACTTATTTTATATGTGATTCTGTGTAGTAGTTTTGGAGTTAACCAGCCTTGTTCTGCCATCTGGATTTGATTGTGGGATTCACTGCTTAAAAGTAGTGACACTCTGAGGTTAATTTCCTAGTCTGTAACAGGATAGTAACATCACCTCTCTGTATGTGCTAAGATTGCTTTCTGTGGCAAATAACAGAAGTCAGATGGCAGTGGCTTCACCAAATAAAAGTATATTTTTCTCATGGAACGAGCAGCTCAGGGGTAGGCAATTTTGGAATTGGTACAGTTGCTCAAGGGACCCATCAAGGATGCAGGGTCTTGCTGCCCCAGCATCCAGGACCACAAGGGGGCTATTCCAGTTTCAGGCAAAATGGCAAGAGGTCAGCTTTGAAGAGCTTTCTGGAGAGCCATACTTAGTTATTCTATCTTATCCTTCATTGGCCACAGCTATGCTGGGATGTGGAGAAGGCAATGGCAAGGGACAGGGGAGCCTGGTGGGCTGCCATCTCTGGGGTCACACAGAGTCGGACACCACTGAAGGGACTTAGCAGCAGCAGCATGCTGGGATGACCAACCCTACCTACAAAGGAGTCTGGGATATCAAGTATTTTAACTGGACACATTGTTGCCTCAAACATAACTAAAGTCCTGTGAGGAAGCAAGGAGAGACCCCAGCCTATCTGCAACACAATCTTGGGAATTGTTGAGAGGACTCCCTGAGAAATGTCAAATTCTTGGCCCAGTGCCTGACATGTAACTATCATTAGCAACTGAAACTCTTTCCAATGTCTTCTCTGAGGAGGATGCCAGTAATGTGGCCAGTGGAGACTCAGGCTCCTCACTGACGACTTCCTCCAACTTCTGCTCATCTGAATCTGACTCATGACTCATGACTCAGGCAATCTCAGCTCCTAGACAGTCTTTCCTCTCTTCTCTGGTCCTCAAAGGCATCACCTGCTCTTTTGAAAACCTGTAACACAAAATAACTACTATATTACTCAAATGTAATTTAACTCATGTTTCTTTGTATGACTAATTTATACCTGTGTTTATTTTTTTTTCTCCTAACAAGATTATAAATTTACTGAGGACAGAAATGATGTTTTATTCCTGCATCCCTGCCTCAAAGTTTTGTTACTTGTTCTTACACAGAGTAGATACTCATGTTGAATAGATTGTAGGGTTTGGGAGGCAGCCAGCTTTTGTTTAAATTGCTAGTAGAGCTGGGGATGTGGTACTCCAGAGATTTATCTGCACGTGTGCAGTAGTGAATCACATTCTTTGGGTCATTTGCTATTCTGTATACATTGGTTTTCAGAGCAGAGATAGCCAAGATATGGTCTAGTAAACATAGATGTGGTCACTCTCTGAAAAAAAGCAGGGTAAAAAGTGAGGATAGAATGCCTACTTAGAATCAAGTATTCATTGATTCGTTCATCCATTCAACCAAGTGCCTGCTGGGCACCATACAAAGTTTGAACCTCTTGATCCTGTGTCTCTTCCTACAACTTCTTCCAGTCTTGAGGCAGGATGAGCTCCTTTGCTCAGAAGTACTCACTTCCTTCAGGTTTTGACTCAAGGGGAATTCCCTGAGCCCATCAATTTCAAAACCATTTTCTATTAATAATCTTGACTCAGCCACTTGCTTTCAAGGGGAGCCCTGACGAATAATTAAGAAAGTAGAACATGAAGTAGGACTACTGTGAGTGGGAAAGCCCCATACACACTTTCCCCTTTTTATCAGCTCATATCCTGGTCTCTTTTGGGTCCCTATGTGAGCTATCAGTAACCCCCTCTCTCCCAGTCCCATGTAAGGGAAAGGATTTGTCTTAAGCAGATTATATTTCATCCTTTAAAACGAATTCAGCAATTGATTTCTGAGCCCCTGTTATGTATTAAGTACTATGCTGGCACGGATGACAAGAACACAAAGATATTAAATCAGTTAAGGAACTGATTAAATGTTTGATTAGAGTGTGCAAGCTAATGGGGGTGTCTTCATCTTTGTAAGACTGATACAGCACTTGCTCTGTGCCAAGCCCCATGCTTAATGCCGTACATACTTTTTCTCTTTGGATCTTCTGAGGATTTACAACACTGTGAGACAGGTGGAAGATAGAATAATTATTTTTATTTAATAATTATTTTATATTCTATTTAAGATAGAGTTTTTATCTCTCCCTTTCCCCAGCCACTCACCTACCTTCTGCTTAAAGTTGAATCCATGAGGGAGGGGTAAATGTTAGAGATCTAAAAAGGATCCAAAATTCTGGAAAGAAACCACTTGTTGGCTGGGTGCCCCATACCAACGTGGGGTGACACCAGTAGAGTAGAAACAGCAGCATTTTCTGAGTAGCAGAGGCTTGTGATATTTCCCCTGCACCTTGCCTCTGAGTCTCTTTCGAGTACAGAGTGGGTGGATGCGATCTGAAAATGTCCCTAATAGAGGAGAGGAAGGCAGTTAAAAAGTCATAGTCAGGTGCCAGTGATGGGGGTCACTGTGATGTGATTTAAGGTGATGTCATAGCAGAGTCTTTATTGTGGATGAGCCATGGTTGGGGCCTCAGGATCAGCAGAGCCAGGAAGATGCTGAGTCACAGGGAGGCAAACCTGCATGCTCTGTGCCACTATTCCATCGGCTGTGGGCACTTTAGAAGCAGGAATGACAAGGGAGAAGCTACCATCCAAGACCAGCAGGACGACATATCTCGGCTAAGGTCAGCTGTGATGTTGAGTGGTATCTGGACCTACCAGGATGACAGGCTTTATGTGGAACAGATGACCTTCCCGTGAGGCCAGGGGGTGATTTGGGAAAAATCTTTCTGGTAATTTAGCTTCCCCCTCAAGGGAGACAAGAAGGAGAGGGAAAAGGGAGAGTTTTCGATTCAATGTAATAAATTACCCATAGAGATGTGCTTTGCCAGAGAAACAATGGCATTATTGTAATGTGGTTTGAGTTTTTGGTTTTTTTTTTTAACATTTGCAAGAACAGAGGTTTCAAAATTTTGGCTGAGAATTTTATATCCACAAGAGGAGTTTAGGTAAAAATCCTTAAATATTTTCTTTTCTAGTCTCCTGCTCTTGCCTTTTTCCTCACAGAGCCTCCTCATAATCCAAAGTGCCTGCCAGGACCAAGGTGGATGTTAAGTCCATGAATAATGGCTGAGGCTTCATTAGTAGACTCCATCGTTTCTTCAAGGGAGCACATATTCATATTCATCTTTTAATCAATGGAGAAACTAGAGGAGGAGTTTCCCTGCCGAGCTGAGGGGAAAAACAGAATGCCCTTGACCAGAGCCCTTCTAGATTCTACACTAGAGTCTTCCTTGGTGGCTCAGTTGGTAAATAGCCTGCCTGCAAGGTGGGAGACCCAGGTTCAATCCCTGGGTTGGGAAGATCCCCTGGAGAAGAAAATGGCAACCCACTCCAGGATTCTTGCCTGGGGAATCCCATGGACAGAAGAACCTGGTGGGCTATAGTTCATGGGCTCACAAAGAGTCGAACATGACTGAGTGCCTAACAGAGTCCTTCTGGCTCCTAGTTCCTTCTTGGTGGAGTCAAGGTGGCCCTGTGAGAGCACATGAGGGAAGAGACAGGAGGTGCTGGTGAGAGAGGTGGCAGCTATTTTGAACAAGGGATTCTTCCTGTCAGTGACTCCATCTTTACTCAGACCCAGGCTCCAGTTCAGAAGTTCAGCTCCTTTCTCCAACACCCACTCTCAGATTCACACACTCACAGAAGAACCATCCTTCACCACAGCTAACATTGACCCTGCCCTGAGGCCCTTTCCTCTTCCAAAGGCAGGAAGAGGAAGGAACCATGGAAAAAACAACAAAACCAAGAAAACCTATTCCTTTCCTGGGAGTGCAAGCAATTCCACTTAACTTATTTTGCACCAAATAAGGATGCTGAGGAAACTGAAATGGGATGACTCCCGCAGTGTGGGTTCAACTTATAGAAACTCAATATACTAATTTACAAGCCAGATCGATTAAGAGATGATTATGCACTATATAGGCAGCTACTTTGTTTCAATATGGGATTCCTTTGAGCGTTTGCTCCCTAGGGCATCTAAGAATTTGCTTATAGATCATGACTATTGGATGGAAGGAAGAGGGGAGCAGAAAAATAGTAGGAGGCCTCATCTACTATAGATGAAGAAAAAAGGTAAAGTACTTCTGAAATGATATAAATCAATGGAAAAACAGGATGGATTTCCCAAATTTAATGTATATGCAAGTTTGCATAGCATTATAAAATAATATAGTATTTACTATTATTTTTACTACTATATACTGAAACCTAATGTTTACTACTATATGCCGAACTAGTTTACTTACATGCATCCTTACAAGAGCTAAAGGAGGTAGATATTACCATCCTCATTCTGTAGATGAGTAAACTGAGGCTCAGGATGTGAAAAAACTGGTCAGAGGTCTCAGATATTTCGAGTTCACATTACTCTATCTATCAACAGTCATAAATCCAACTGTGGGTATTTGTCTCTCTCCTTCATTTTTGGTATGAAGCAGAAAGGGTTATCAGTATTCACTTCTCTATTTGAAAAATGTTCTTTAAAAAGGAAACTATTTTTGGATGGAGTGAATTAAAGAATAAACACGAATCTTACTGTTAGTTTATTTTCACTGAGTGCACACACTCCTCCAACGATAATTCATCCAGGATGTGAGCTGGAACTCATTAGGAGTCACCAAGCCTGAGGGAGAAGATAAAACCATGATTAAAGACATCTGAGCCCTTAAGGACAATTTATTATCTTGGATTTCATTTTTAATAGGAGATACTAATTCATATAAGAAGTCCCTGGGGCAAATGAGTGGTGCCCTGTAATTGTTGTGGGTCTCTGGAGTGTCCCAACATGCACTGGCTCCTGGGCAGGGCAGGGTGCCAGGTCTGCAAGCAGGTGCCAGGCCCGGGAACTCCTTGGACTCTTGACCAGCCTGGCCTGGTGGGAGAAGGATCTCTGGCAATGCCATAAAGCAGAATGACTCCAAGTGGTCCTATACAAGTTGGCCAATTTTTTTACTCAAAAATCTCTCCATTTATCCCAGTGGGAGGCTGAAAACTTGGCCCTGAGATCAGGTTCAAAGCATTAATATAGGTAGCAAGTGTAAGAGGAGCAAGTGACTGTATAGAGAGCCAGATTCTCCCTGTTAGCAGCATGGATGATAATGATCCACAATGGACCTCGGGTCCCTTGTCTGCAAAATGAGAAGGTGATGACATAGCTTCAAGGTGCTTTTTAAATCTGGGATAGAGTTAGAAAGGCAGAGAGGAAAGAAATCCTGCAGTTCAATTCCTTGCTCAGTCCCTTCCTTCACGCGGGTGCTAGAAATACATATTATAGAAATACAACAGCAGCAAGAGTATGTTGGTTATTTTCTGGTGAGACATTATGTTCAATGCTGCAAATATTGGGGCAATCTTATGAAGTAGACATTGTCATTATCTCCATTTCATAGTGAGGGAACTGGAGTGCAGAGGGACTGGGTGACTTACCCAAGATCACATGGGTTCAGGTAGTATAGCTTTAGCACCTGCATTCTAGTCACTACAATCTTCATCTATAAAGTGAGAGTAATGGCATATCTACCTCAGAGAGTTTTAGTGAAGATGAAATGACATCACAGACTAAAGTGCTGAGCATGGTTCCTGGCACATGATAATCACTTGTTAAGTAAATTAGATTTGTTTAGCTTGGAGAAGCTAATAAGACTAGGAGACTTAATTATTGTCTTCAAATATATGAATGATTTTTAATGATTCACTTATGTTTGATGAATATTGAGCCCCTACAGAGCCAGACTAAATGCTTTATATTATTCTTAAGTCTGTGTCATTCAAGAAGAGAATTTAATTTTAGATAGGAGAAATTTAATTAGACACAAAAATAACTTGACCTTTATACTAGGTATAAAATTCCAGAATAAATGATGACAATTCACTGTGAAGGTTGTATTTATGGTGCTTAAATGGAGAATCAGTATTTGAACAACTTCCAGGCACAACTGTGCAGGTTGTATACTGCATAAAACTAGGGACTGCCACTTACGCCATAGTGAATATACTAATAAGCATTCTTTGGAAATTACATAATACACAACCTGCATGGTCCTTTGTAGCAGTCCTGCCTGTTAGTCCTAAAGTGTTTAGGTTGAAGCTGGTCTTATTCCAGCTGAAGGAATCCGTATCTTTGCATAAAAGTTGAGGGTTGATATAATTATCTGGGAAAGGGAAGTACATGACATGTATGATACAACAAATCACCCAGGGTTCCATGGCAGTCATAGATAATAAGTCATGGCCTCAGAGTCCCTCTCCACGCGACACTTCACAGGGAGTTACTATCCATTAATCAGATCTGTCACGTTGGCTGAAACAAAAATTATTTAGCACAGTGATCAGTTAGTCATTCTGAAGTCAGAATGATTGGGCTTGAATCTAAACTCTGCCACATATGATACTGGTGACCTTAGTGAATCAGAAGGGCCGCTTTTGACTGCAAATAATAGAAACCAAGCTAAAAGATTACAGAAGGATACCTTTTGAGAAACGCTGTATCACCAAAGCTTTTGATGTAACAGAGGATCATCGCATATGGAAAAACTTGAACATTGATGACTCAGTGCAGAAGTCATTCGGGAGAGTTTACACTTTCAATGGAAAGCAGGCTTAGGGATACCTTGACTAATTTGCTCTAATACCTTGACTAATTTGGTAAAGAATCCACCTGCCAAGCAGGAGACCCTGATTTGATCCCTGGGTCAGGAAGATCCCCTTGAGGAGGGGATGGCAACCCACTCCAGTATTCTTGCTTGGAGAATCTCCATGGACAGAAGAGCCTGGTGGCGTACAGTCCATGGGGTCGCAAAGAGTTGGACATTACTGAAGTGATTTAGCATGCATGTATGCACATAAGAGAAGTAAGTGGTAGAAAAAAAATCTAGGAATAAGTGTCTAAATGTACTCTTTCACCAAGTATAGTATAAAAATTCTAAATGATCAGAGTATGGTGTCATAGGTTACTTGGCAACATTTTTTTCTTTCTAGTTGGACACAACACACATGGTGGTGCATCTTACAACTGATGGCATCTTGGTTGAGAAGAAATGCAACATATATCACAAGAAGGCCAGAGGGAGGGCAGTGCTGGGGTTCGCTAATTTAGCAGCTCAGGAAAACTGTTAGGGATATAGTTTCTTTTTGTCCTTCCCCATTGCCATCCTTAGTCTGTTGACCAGTTCTTTTAGGTGGCTCCCCTCATGGCCCCAAGATGGCAGCCCCAGTTCTAGGTACTGCATGAAAGTGACAATGTCCAGAGGAAAAAGGAAGTGCCTCTTCTGTATCTTGTTTTGGTCAGCAAGGATTCCTAGCAGACTTCTCCTCATGTTTTACTATCTATAATTGTGCCTTACATTCCTAATCATTGTCAATACGAAGGGGATCACTGTTGGTTTAGGCCAGTTAGAGCCAGTTCCTGGGCCCCTGGAAGAACTCCACTCCCCTGAAAGACATGATCCCTTGAACAAGGCTGAATGAAGTTCTGATTGTGAGGCAGAGACACAGGAATGACTGTTGGTTACTCAACCAGAAGGGTCTGCCACTCGGGAAGTTGCTTATCTTTTCTTCATCTCAGTATCTTCATATGTAAAATGGTGATGACAACAGCCACCTGGAAGGACAGTTTCGAGGATTA